CTCCCAGGCACTCTTATAAGGTCAGTATGTCCTCAGGTTTGCTTGTATAACTGCTTTTACACTTATTACTCATCCCATGTCCATACCAACAAGCTATATCTCAGGCTAAACTGTTGGGTTTTTGGTTGGGGTTTTTTGTTGGGTTTGGTTTTCTTCTGTTTTTAATTTTTGTTTAGAATTTTTTAGCAAATAGATCATTTCAGTAGACATTTGTCACCCGTTAAGTCTGGTTCACTAAATGAACAACATATGGTCTCTATTAACCCCTCTCCCTTCCCAGAAGGAGAAGAGAGAGAGAATAAGAGAGAGAGGCTTATGGATTGGAAAAGAAAACTAAAACACCTTTAATGAAACCTTAACAATAAAAAGACAGTAACAATAATGAAATATATATACAAAACCAGTACCGAACTCCCCCAATGACGATCACATCACCACGGATGCTGCAGGGCAGGCACTGGGAAAGTCTCAGACTGGACCCAGCAGCAGACAGGAACTGGATTTGGGAACCGGATTCAGGAATGCACAGACTGTGATCAAAGACAGAAGAACAGACAGAGTCCTCCTTGGACGTCAGCCATTGAAGAGGGCTTGACCCTTGTGATCCCTCAGCTTTATGCTGAATAAGATGTATATGGAATGGAACACTTTGTTGGTCAGTTTTGGGTCACCTGTCCTGTCCACTCCTCCCCACAAGTGCAACCCTTTTACTCACGGCACTTGAACATGACACATAAGATTTCGCAGTGACCTTGGTTTCTCTAGAAGCAAGCATAAGTAAGAGCCTTTCTGCATACCATTCCTTGGTAGTAACTATCAAGCACTATCACTTCTAGAATCAGACACTGTCTGGAAAAATATGCCGTTACTATCAGAAAGTGCAGTCACTTAGAAGAAACTTAGCTGAAAAGTAAAATCACTGAATGGAGAATTGGTTCTGTTCCAGCTCAAACCAGGATAACATTAGGGAATAGTTAATCTAGTAAAGCTGAGAAATTGGTAGTGGTAGGCACAGATGGACAAACAGCCTTAACAAGGTAGCACCTGCAACTGGGCTGAAAGTTTATGTTACCAAATATTCCAGCACTACATTGGCCTGTATCATAAAACAGTTGTTTTCCTTCTGGGGCACACATGACAGTAACAAGTGGCATTGCTGTACCTTCAGTACAGGAAAAAGAACCACACAAGGAGGTCCTTCGGTCTTTTGCTCCCATCTTGCAATAGAGATCCAAAGTACCCAGGTGATTTCTGACTGAACAAGGCAAATGCTCACAGAGCTGGGGCAAGCAGTATCTGCCCAGACAGCCATCCAGAAGGGACCTGCAAAACCGGCCACAGCAGCCAGGTCCTGCAGGATGAGTGAGCAGCCCACCTGTGGCCAGCTGCTGTTCACCCAGCCACCTCCAACACTTACACCTGTTCTCCACCATGGTACAGCACCAGCAGTTGCCACGACAGCCCAGCACCTGTATCACCAGCTCGCACCGCACTGAGCTTCCTTCTCTTTGTTCTTCTCCTTAGATCATGGCAGGAGCAAGGCTTGTTCTGTTTTCAGAGGGGTGTCCTTTGTTTGCCGGACATTTGCAACCACAAATGTACTCAGTTGTGTGATCTCCAACTGCTCGGTCTCAGGCCAAGCTTCTCTTGCACATCAAGCTACTTGTCCCATTAAACTTTAACGTCACAGCCAAGTTGGAAAGGGAGGCTTTCTTAAGAGGGAGACACGGGCACAGAGATTGGGCAGATGTATTCTTGATACAAAACTGGCCTTGCTGGTAAGGCGTAATAATGTTGTCCCGAAACAGCATTAATTTTCTGTACTTTCTGCTGCTTTGGAAAATACTGTCAAGGGTCCTGAATGTGTGGCCTTCACAACTTAAAAACACATGTGAAAACAATTGCTCCCGTGGCAACACTGACATTTTCAAAATAATTATAAAAGAGTAATTGCCATTATAGGTTCTTATAAAACACTTTGAGTTTGGTTTATTTTTTCTCCTCAAAGTAAACATCCCTAGGAGATATATTTTATAGGTCCTTGGTCCTTGACTTCCACCAGCTGATACCCCCAGCTAGAAGCAGTCCCTGTGCCAGCTCAAAGCAGTGATCACCCTGGCAGGGCTGAACAGCACTGGGTCCTGGGCACAAGTGCAGCCAGCGTCATCCGACAAGGCTGCTCTTAAGCTTTCTGGGGAGAAAAGCCTAGCAGGGCGCAGTCTGAGTGTTTTCAAAGATTGAGAGGACCGAGTGCTTCACAAAACACAACTGTCATGCTCCCTTCTTCCAAATAAAAGTCACAACAAGGAGAGCTGATCTTCTGGTGCCTGCCTCACACATAGGCTCAGCAGTTAGAGTAGACGTACTGAAGTGAAGAATGTGGAAACAGTATCTGCCCCATCCTGAAAGATTTCAGAGCAACACTTTCCACCCTGCGAAAGAGTGCTCCATATTGTAACACACCTAACACACCCAGATAGTCTCAAGTGTTTCTAGACTACCAAGGAACACTAGTCCTTTCTCATTTTCAGTGTTCCAACTCAGTGCACTATCAATTAAAAACAGATACAAGAGAACATTACACCTGCATGTTGCACACAATTAACTCTTAGCTTAAAAATCACACTGCACCAGACTAACGGCAGAGATCATATCTCAGGTCGCAGCTTTTCAGAATGTTGGTCTGTCAGGGAAGAGGTTTTTGTCTTCTGGGGTTTGAAACAGCCTGTTAATACAGTGTCCACGCTGGTAAATTAAATATGAAAGCAGAGAATGTAACTGGTTTTCCAATGCCCTTTACATCTTTCATTGCTTGAACCATAGAAAACTCTTGAAATTGTGACTGCCGTGACTACTTTTGTGAGCTGCTTTTTGTTCTAGCCTGCTGATCTTTATGTCCACAAGTGCTATGCAAAGATTTTTATTTATTTTTTTTTCCTCTCTGTGGCCCCGAGCTAAGTTTATATGAAAACCGAATCTTCCAACAATCGTTACAAATTGTAACACTGGCAAGTCTGAGAAAGAGAAATCCTCTCGTAAAGAAACACAGTAAGGACAATAGCAGCAGATGATATCTATAGGACCTCTGCCTATGCATAAACCCCAACAGGAGGGGACAGCTGCTATGGCAAATGCTATCGTAATTTCGCCTCCTTGTAATTCAGTCCCTCACCTCCTTGACTGTGTGCCTGTGGGTACCTGTTGTGCTTTGGTTCATGAAATGGAGATTTGTTCTGCAGAAGCAGCATCCACTGGGACACTGAAAAGCTCTCAGTAAAATTTCTCTAATCCATATTAATATCTATCGACTCGCTCAGGATTTATGTGAACAATCAAGGTGAAGGCTGAAGGAATTATTCATGGGATTATTCAACCCAGGCAGCTTCCAGCATAGCCATCCACTTCATTCAGAACATTTCATTTCCAGATTATTGCTCCTTGCAGGTTCTAGCAACCTGAGATGAGACACACAGGCACACACTACACAAGGGGCACAGGCACCTGGCTTGGCAGTCTGCAGGACTGGGTATGAGAAGCCCAAGATCTTTCTTCTCCAAACAGAAGCAGAGCTTGAAAACTCAAGAGGTGTGCACAATTCATAAAATCCTGGCCCCCAAGCATGTTTTAGCTTCTTAGTAACACTCACGTTGATGGCTTTTCCAGGCCTTACACACAAAGAAGAAAAGCAAAAATTGCAGCCATGTAAGCTGAAAAACATGCTAAAACACATACTAAAAACCAGCAAACGCATAAAACCAGGTTTTTGTATATTTCTGGGGCATTGCTCTTACACCAATGGCAACGACCACGGGCAAAAGCATTTTGCAGAACCTGTTTTGAAACTTGCTGATCACCACAACACTAACAAGGCTATCTTCATGAATCAACCTACTGAGTCTCCCTTCACCTACCAAAGCTGCAGATGGTCAGCATTAACCAGATCCAGCTGCAATCACGGATTTTTTGGGGTAAAATTCTGATCCAAGAATATTTGGGGCTTGCAGAAAGTGGTTATTTGCCCACCTAATATGATCTGGGATAAATGCTTTGAATTCCTCTATAGCAGGAACACTTACATCTTCAAAAGGGATGTAGCTCTGCATGGGGTCAGAATACGTGCCCTAATCACAGACTGTTGCTGATCTAATATGTACTGCCCTGTGAATCAGAGCTTTGGGATATATCTCACAGAAATGAAAGTTTCCTGAGAGACTACTTGTCCTATAATAGGCCTTGAACAGTTATAGAATACTAAAGCAATACTCTGGGTCTCTGCAAAATCACCAAGATTAAATTACTTTCCTATAAAAAAGCTACTAATAGCCCATGAAGGAGCAGGGTATCAGAGATCATCATTAAAATGTCAACATCTGACACTAACGTCAACATCTGACACTAACCACTTTAGGGTTTTAAGATCCTGTCCTGGAAAAACCCTGTCCTACTCCTGTGACAGTGGGATTTCATCAGCTTTCCACTTTTGCTGTCACTGTTTGTAGGAGAGACTACAAAAAAGGGCAAAAAAGAAGGAAGTTTGCTGCTATAACTAAACATTTCTGTATCTGGTTACAAGACAAAATTGAAGGATGTTTGGATTAAAGGCAGCCTAAGATGACCCCAGAGACAGCATTCAAGAGATTTCCAAGAACTCTGTAAAGGAAGTCCTCAAAGCACTGTAAGGCCACAGTTCCTCTTCTACATTTAAGGGGGGGAGGCAATAGTTAAGTATTTAAAGAGTCCTCTGGAGGACTCTGCAATGATTACCAACACATAGAGCACACATGAGAGAGCAGGAGCAAACACTACAGCAAGCCACAAGCTGAAGCATTGGTTTTGTCCCTACATTAAAATTCTCAGAGTGGGAGCCTGGACACCACTCCCAGCAATTCATACAGCTCTATGAAAAGAACAGGATTTGCACCCCCATTTTTTTCTAAAAGCATCTTATTGCTACAGACAAAACACAAATACAGAAATGTGGGGGAAGATTTCTTTCTTACCACCACCACTGGGGACCACTTCTGGCACCTGGCAACACTCAGAGCAACAGGAGAATCCCCATCTCCTCCCTCCAGGGAAGTACCACTGTTTATGTTTCAAGAGATTTGCTTTCTCATTTGCCTATAAGCAAAAAAGACATTCTTCAATGAATGTAAGAAAAATATTTTGTTTAGAAGCAAAATACAATGCAAACAACACGCAGCTGCTACCTCAGGTCACTAATTCTTTAACTCAAACTCTTCTTACTAAAATTACCCACCTTTCTCTTTTCTTTAGGGAAAAAAAAACCTACTTAAACTTTCTTCCCATGTACTAATACTACACTCTGCTCACAGGTACCGACTACTATTGCTTTCAGAAGGTCTAACTGGCACATATCTATGAAATGAAAAGCAAGTGTTCTCAACTTATATTTAGTAGTGAAATTGCAGCTTCTATTCAGAACAGAGAAAGGGCTTGCATACTCAAGAACTAGCCTACTTTTCCCAGCTTTACTAATCAGCATAACAAAAGGTATTTCTTTTACCTACAAACCTTGTCTTGATAGAAGTTATTGAAAATGAAGCAGAAGCAATTATCCATTCTCATAACACACACTTAATCC